ACTCAATGCGCTCGTGTATAATGTGGGCTATCATGTGGAGCACCACGACTTCCCATCGATTCCCGGCTCACTTTTGCCTAGAGTTCGTGAAATAGCGCCGGAGTTTTACAATTCGCTGCCTTCCTATGGGTCATGGGTTTACGTCATCTGGAAGTATATCACTGACGACAGAGTTGGGCCCTATTCTCGAGTTAAACGACCGCATCGTTTCGGAAAACACGACCAAAAGACTATGGATTTTATTAATGAAATCAAATCTGAATTTAAATAATATGACATATATTTTGTTGCAAATTATTTGAGTTTATTTATGTTAAGTTAGCTTTCTTGATTTCTACGAAAATTTAGAATAATTATGTCTTATTTATTCAAAAGAGTCAGTAAATATGCCTTGGTCAGTATATAAAATAAGTTTTAATTTAATAAAATTCATGGTGAATATGGGACAAACATAAAGGTCTTTAGTGTATTAAGGTCTATGGTTAGATAAGTGGTCAATGAAGTCAAAGTTGAGAAGTTGACCATTATTAAATCTACAGTATGTACTGTATTGCATTTATACTATTTATGGACATTACAAATTCAGTAGTCAAACATTGCACACTAAAGAATTTTCTATTGTAATAAATGATTACTAATAATATGAGTTGAATTTTACACTTTCTAAACTATTCTAGTGCACTGGTATTAATAATACCGTATTATATATTTCTTATATTATATTTATTGTATGCGATTCTTGTCATTAGGTTTGGTTTTATTCATAAATTTAATGAAAAATATTTTAATTACTAAATACTAATTGTGTTTAAACCGTTTAAACAGTAATTTGCTCACAATGTGTGACGAGTGATGTACTTATTTTGAAGAATTGATCGCATAATTCAACTCAATTATTATAGTTTTTAAAATTGTTGACACTTTTCCTATTTATGTCTGACGTTTAATTTCACTAGTAATGCAATTTTGTATGTTAATAACAATATTATAAAACAATTGAGTGATGTATAAATTTATTCAGTAAATACATAATTTAATTTGGATTACTACTGGATTGTTTAATTAATTATTATAATAAAATATTTAAAATGTTTTATTGATAAAACTTGTTTGCAAAATACCAAATGATATTTTAATTGAAATACTTTGTTAAACATTTTAAAGTATCTTACAAGCATAGTTATTTCGCAGTTATATTAACATAACAGGTATTAATTTTAGTAACAAGTTATACAAAAAAAAGTTATTTAAAAATGGGAACCAAAAAAGATTTTGAATGGGTTTACACGGATGAACCTCATGCCACCCGTCGGTCACTAATTTTGGCAAAATATCCACAAATAAAGCAATTAATGAGAGCCGACCCTAACATCAAATGGACAGCCAGTGTCACTGCAATCATACAATTGATTTCGTTTTATATGTTAAGAGATGTGACCTCTTTCTGGCAATTGTTTCTAATGGCCTATTGTTTCGGTGGAGTCCTCAACAAATCACTGCTGACGGCCATCCACGAGATCATACATAACCACGCGTTTGGACCCTCGAGACCAATGGCCACCAAAGTGTTGGCAGTGGTAATCACTTTGCCGACGGGTCTCCCCATATTTGGCTCATTTAAGAAGTACCATTTACTTCACCACCGATATCAAGGCGATGACATACTCGACACCGATATTCCCTCCTATTTAGAAATCAAGTTCTTCAGCACACCTGTGACTAAGCTTTTTTGGATGATTTTCCAGCCGGCCTTTTATGCCCTCCGCCCCTTCCTATCGCAACCAAATTATGTCTTAAATCCAAATTCTCTGGAGTACTTCAATCTATTCATACAATTAATGTTCAACTATATGGTGGGCGTGTGGTGTGGATGGCATGTCATGATCTATATGATAGGATCGACACTATTATGTATGGGTTTGCATCCCATGAGCGGACATATAATCTCCGAGCACTCCGTTATGTTTGACGAGAGAATCGATTTGTTTGAAAATATTAATAAAATCGAGTTTCAAAGGGATGAATATCTCAAACTCATACCCGAAACCTACTCCTATTACGGACCACTCAATTTAATCATGTATAACCTGGGTTATCACGTCGAGCACCATGACTTTCCGTCAATTCCCGGCTCACTTTTGCCTAAAGTTCGCGAAATAGCGCCGGAATATTACAATTCACTTCCTTATCATAGCTCCTGGACTTATGTGGTCTGGCAGTTTTTAACTGACCCTAAAATTGGTCCATTTTCTCGAGTCAAAAGACCGCATCGTTTTGGAAAACAGGACCAAAATACTTGTGATTTTATAAATGAAGTCAACTCTGAAATGAAATAATGAGACTTATTTTTGTTATACATTATATAATCATTCAATAAATAAATTTCATGCTTTGTAATTACCAAAAGTTTCTCATTTATTAGTCTTACCATAAATTGTTGTCTCAAACACTGAGTCTCAAACAACAATTGCTTCAATTCAAGTAAAACAACTCATTTTTATGTAATTAAAACATAGGTTTATAGTTGTGTTTACTGTTATGCAAAACGAGAAATGAAATTATGAATTGAAAACAATTTATTAATAAACAATTTTTTATTGATTTGAATGATAAAAGTATTTAAAGTTGAATGGTAAATATTAAATCGTAAAAAAGGATAATTAGATGTACATTATGTGGATATAGTTTAATATGAAAACTAAATAAATCAGATTCAATGTAAGAATAAAATAGCTGAAATCAATAAATGTACCTGATATATATATATATTATTAAAATTATAAAACAATTAAGTTGTGTAAAAATTTATTCAATAAATATATTAGTTAATTTGAAACACTGTAAGATTATATAGCAAATTATTATTTTTGATAATATTTTAAAAGTTTCATTTAAAACAACTTGTTTGCAAAATACTTAATAATATGTAATACTTTGTGGAGCATCTTAAATAGCTTACAATCTATTTTATATCACAGTTATATTAGCATAACAGGTATTAATTTTAGTAACACGTTATATAAATGTAAAAAAGTGATTTAAAATGGGAACCACAAGAGATTTTGAATGGGTTTACACCGACGAGCCTCATGCCACCCGACGGGCACTGATCCTGGCCAAATATCCACAAATCAAGCAATTAATGATACCCGACCCTAGCATCAAATGGTCCGCCATCGGGATGGTAGTCATACAATTGGTCTCATTTTATATGTTTAAAGATGTGACCTCTTTCTGGCAATTGTTTCTAATGGCCTATTGTTTCGGTGGAGTCCTTAATATATCTCTCCAGACAGCCGTCCACGAGATCATACATAACCACGCGTTTGGACCCTCGAGACCAATGGCCACCAAAGTGTTGGCACTGATCACCAATTTGCCGATTGGTATCCCTATAGTGGGCTCACATAAGAAGTACCACTTACTTCACCACCGATATCAAGGCGATGACATACTTGACACCGATATTCCCTCGTATTTTGAGGTCAAATACTTCAGCAAACCTTTCACTAAGTTTTTGTGGATGATATTACAGCCCCTGTTTTACGCACTCCGGCCAGTCTTATCTCAACCAAAGTTTGTCGTAAATCCCAATTCACTGGAATTGTCTAATATTTTCATTCAAATAACGTTCAACTATATGGTGGGCGTGTGGTGTGGATGGCATATCGTGGCGTATATGATAGGATCGACGATATTAGGTATGGGTTTGCATCCCATGAGCGGACATATACTCTCCGAACACTTCGTTATGTTTGACGAGAGGATCAATATGTTTGAAAATATCAACAAAAAAGACGTCCAAAGAGATGAGTACTTGAAGTTAATACCCGAAACCTATTCATACTACGGATCACTCAACTTTATTATGTATAACCTGGGTTATCACGTCGAGCACCACGACTTCCCATCTATTCCGGGCTCTCTTTTGCCTAAAGTTCGCGAAATAGCGCCGGAATATTACAATTCTCTACCCTATCATAGCTCCTGGACTTATGTGGTCTGGAAGTTTTTAATAGACCCCAAGCTTGGTCCTTTTTCTCGAGTCAAACGACCGCATCGTTTCGGAAAACAAGACGAAAAGACCATTGACTACATCAATGAAATCAACTCTGAAATTAAATAATGACACCTATTTTGTTGTTAAATTGTTTAATACTTGCTTAATCGTTAATATAATTTTAATTGCATATTTTTAAAATTATTTAATGTTATTAAAATTGTATAATTATCAGAGATTACTTTAATTTTTAATAATAAATTTTTAAAAATTTCTTTAAGTTTACTAAGTTAATTAAAAATAATTTTTGCGTTTTTAGTTTACAGTAATTTAATCAGAATTATAATTATTATTTAATAACCTAGTACCTCAACAATTCTTTATTAATATAGAAAGTTTTCATTATAAATTGTAGTAAAAATAATGTAATAAAATTTGTCCCTGTCTATAACTTTATTATAACTTTATCGGAAGTTATCTAGTGGTCGAATTATTAAGTATGTTAATTTTATTAACATGAATAGAAATTTACACTTTCTAAACTATTGTAGTGCACTGGTATTATATATTTCTTATATTATATTTATTGTATGCGATTCTTGTCGTTAGGTTTAGTTTGGTTCATAAATTAAATGAAAAATATTTTAGTTACTAAATACTAATTGTGTTTAAACAAATTTGCTTGCTCACAATGTGTGACGAGTGATGTACTAATTTTGAAGAATTTAGCGCATAATTAAACCCAATTATTATAGTTTTAAAAATTATTGACACCTTTCCTATTTGTGTCTGACGTTTAATTTCACTAGTTATGCAATTTTATATGTTAATAACAATATTATAAAACAATTGAGTGATGTATAAATTTATTCAGTAAATTCATTATTTCATTTGAACTACACTCGATTGTTTAATTAATTATTATAATAAAATCTTTAAAATGTTTTATTGATACAATTTGTTTGAAAAATACCTAATGATAGTTTGAATTGAAATACTTTGTGAAACATTTTAAAGCATCTTACAATCATAGTTATTTCGCAGTTATTATACTACATAACAGGTATTAATTTTAGTAACAAATTATACAAAAAAAGTTTTTAAAAATGGGAACCAAAAAAGATTTTGAATGGGTTTACACGGATGAACCTCATGGCACCCGTCGGTCACTAATTTTGGCAAAATATCCACAAATAAAGCAATTAATGAGAACCGACCCTAACATCAAATGGACAGCCAGTGTCACTGCAATCATACAATTGATTTCGTTTTATATGTTAAGAGATGTGACCTCTTTCTGGCAATTGTTTCTAATGGCCTATTGTTTCGGTGGAGTCCTTAATATATCTCTCCAGACAGCCGTCCACGAGATCATACATAACCACGCGTTTGGACCCTCGAAACCAATGGCCACCAAAGTGTTGGCACTGATCACCAATTTACCGATTGGTATCCCTATAGCGGGATCACATAAGAAGTACCACTTACTTCACCACCGATATCAAGGCGATGACATACTCGACACCGACATACCCTCGTATTTTGAGGTCAAATACTTCAGCAAACCTTTCACTAAGTTTTTGTGGATGATATTACAGCCCCTGTTTTACGCACTCCGTCCGGTCTTATCTCAACCAAAGTTTGTCGTAAATCCCGATTCACTGGAATTGTCTAATATTTTCATTCAAATAACGTTCAACTATATGGTGGGTGTGTGTTGGGGATGGCATATTGTGGCGTATATGATAGGGTCGATGATATTAGGCATGGGTTTGCATCCCATGAGCGGACATATACTCTCCGAACACTTCGTTATGTTTGACGAGAGAATCAATTTGTTTGAAAATATTAACAAAAAAGACGTTCAAAGGGATGAGTACTTGAAATTAATACCCGAAACCTACTCATACTACGGACCACTCAATTTAATCATGTATAACCTGGGTTATCACGTCGAGCACCACGACTTCCCATCCATTCCCGGCTCTCTTTTGCCTAAAGTTCGCGAAATAGCGCCGGAATATTACAATTCTCTACCCTATCATAGTTCCTGGACTTATGTGGTCTGGAAGTTTTTAATAGACCCTAAGCTTGGTCCTTTTTCTCGAGTCAAACGACCGCATCGTTTTGGAAAACAAGACGAAAAGACTATCGACTATATCAATGAAATCAACTCTGAAATTAAATAATAACACCTATAATTAAAATAATTAAAATTGTATACTTATCAGAAATTACTTTAATTTTTAATAATAAATTTTTTAAAATGTCTTAAAGTTCACTAAGTTAATTAAAAATAATTTTCGGGTTTTTAGTTTATAGTAATTTAACCAGAATTATAATTATTATTTAATAACCTAGTACCTAAACAATTCTTTATTAATATAGAAAGTTTTTATTAGAAACTGTAGTAAAAATAATGTAATAAAATTTGTCCCTGTCTATAACTTTATTATAACATTATCGGAAGTTATCTAGTGGTCGAATTATTAAATATGTAAATTTTTATTAAATATGTATATTTTATGACATACTTTGTAAAACTTATGTTATACTGATAAAATTATCGATATAAAAATCAATTAATCCCTATTTTCTGGTAAATGATGGCACTGGTAGCTCTCAAACTAATTTATTACAATTATTTATTGAACAATTGAAATGTCCGCACTTATAAACTTTTCCAAATGCATTGCCATGAATGCTAATAACAAATAAAAGTTCGCGAAATAGCGCCGGAATATTACAATTCTCTACCCTATCATAGCTCCTGGACTTATGTGGTCTGGAAGTTTTTAATAGACCCTAAGCTTGGTCCTTTTTCTCGAGTCAAACGACCGCATCGGTTTGGAAAACAAGACGAAAAGACCATCGACTATATCAATGAAATCAACTCGGAATTAAATAATAACACCTATAACTTTAATTTTTAATAATAAATTTTTAAAAATTTCTTTAAGTTCACTAAGTTAATTAAAAATAATTTTTGGGTTTTCAGTTTACGGTAATTTAACCAGAATTATAATTATTATTTAACAACCTAGTACCTCAACAATTCTTTATTAATATAGAAAGTTTTTATTAGAAACTGTAGTAAAAATAATGTAATAAAATTTGTCCCTGTCTATAACTTTATTATAACTTTATCGGAAGTTATCTAGTGGTCGAATTATTAGATATGTAAATTTTTATTAAATATGTATATTTTATGACATAAAACTTATGTTATACTGATAAAATTATCGATATAAAAATCAATTAATCCATATTTTCTGGTAAATGATGGCACTGGTAGCTCTCAAACTAATTTATTACAATTATTTATTGAACAATTGAAATGTCCGCACTTATAAACTTTTCCAAATGCATTGCCATGAATGCTAATAACAAATAAATTATTATAAAATTAGTACTAACAGAATATAAATTACTAATTTGCATATTTTAGTTTCTATGCTCATAATGTTTTGATTGTTTGCTTATGTTTTGCTATTTTGTCATAAACCGTGTAATGAGAAGTACAAACTTTATTTAACGTAGATTGTTATCTAGCAAACTTTTGTTACTATAAGGAAATGTGAGTTCAATTACTTCACACTCGGAGACTAATCATAAAACAGATTTTAACGAAATGCTAAATGCTTTTACTTTTTTAATAAATATAATAAAAATTAAACAAAAACTACAACAAAGCGGTTTACACTGTAAATACAATTAGTCGCTGTTTTTACAATCATTTCCAAACAATTCAACCTTCATTTCGACTCATAATTAATACACTTTTTTGGAGGATTTACTGCACATATACCGCACGTAAACCGCTGTTCAGTCACATTATCAGAGATGTTGTCAACATTTATAATGCAATTATTATTATATATTTTTCCCAATAAAAAGATTGTTTCGTTTGATTTATTGTCAGCTAATTATTTACACAAAAAAAACTTTTTGATTGCAACAGAATTTGCTCTCCAATTACACAGACATAAGACCCAATCATAAGACCAATACTGCAATCATTTATTAATTAAAACAAAACTAATAGCTAAACAAATATTATACCAATCGATAGGTATTAGACCTTTGATATCAAATTTAATTTTTATTGTTTTCATTGAAAAAAGTCTAAAATATCGTGTGAATTATGTTATACTAGTACAGTATGTGTTTTAATCAGAATATTGTATATTTAACAGACTTTCACTTAAAATAACTGATAAAATAGTATATATTTTGTTTTTATTTGCAAAAATATGATTGAATTCTGTGTTTATTTAACCCCATTATACCCCATGTATTCCAATGTCGTATGATTTGAAATTATTTTTTGATATCAATTGCTATTTATGACCATTTGATGCCTACTATAACTGCGATTTAAATAAATAAATCCATTTATCATCATAAAATAAATTATTATTATTAGTAGAAAATTCTTGCATTCAAAACATAAAAACACAGATAAATCTACCAGTTTAGTCTAAGATTTTTATTTTTGTTAAAACGATTCCGAATATATTGTAAATTTTATATCATATCTAATACATAAGATTTTATATATAACTGAACACTTAATATCTGATCATAAATATGAGTGAAAATAACGACAAAAAATTAACGGTTTTGATGAAAGTGTTTGTTAACAATAAGTCATTTTTGCGAAAAAGATTATAATTATCACAAAACCCAATCTCCAGTCCTTTAGCAACAAGTGCTGAGAAATGCGTGACTTTTTTTAGTCGTGAATTTTGTCGATCAAACAATTGTGATGACAATGAACTGCCAGGAAATAGACTGTCGACCGCTATATCTGTGTTTACATTCATATTTCGTATATAAATATATTAAGCCATTCAATCATATTTTATTCATGGGATAGTATCTAATGGCAAACACAACAAACACATAAATTCAATACCAGAATATATATATTATATACATGTTCTCAAAAATACAATATACTGTATGCACCAACAATACCATTGCATTGAGTTTATTGATTAATTAATTTGAATGACTGCCAAAAATGAATGTCAAGAATATGTACAGAATGTTGTTTATATCGTCTATTATTTCCATATTATAAAAGTATTTTGAGCCTAACGTACATGTCCTGTGGAAAGAGTCCTTAAACTTGTAATTATGAGCTCCTATTCCTAAGCATATAATCAAAAGTCCAAAACAAAAACGACTCAATTATATGATAAGAACCTCTTTTTATGACTCTTTTGTTTTATGGCATTATATGGTAGACTCATGTTATGAAATGTTATATTATTTTAGTATTTTATTTATATTTTAGTATAACTATTGGTGTAATTATGATTTTTACTTCATATGTGTTTATCGAAAGAATTGTCTTATCATAAACACTACGGGAAAAATACTCATGTCTTTTGAAATACCCTGATAATTGCAATATTATTGTTTCGATTATTATTATGGTATTTTTAAAAGTTATTTTGTTATTTCATCCATATTAGGCAAAAATACTTAAAATTAATTAAGAAATAAGTTTCATAAATTAAAAATAGCAATGTAAAAGTAATTTTTAAATTACAATTTATTTACTCATATTTTATAAAAACATTGATCATTTGACTTATATTATTCTCAAACACCGCTAGAAATCAATATAAAAAACACATTCTGTGCCGACAAAATATACAAATAAAATATTTCATATTATAAATAATAAACTAGTGATTATACTCATTTCTAAACAGAAAACAATTTTCTTAAAACCCCATAAAATTGCTGATAGAAGTGAGTAGAAACATGTTTTTGTACAAAATAGTGTTTTATATAAAAAATACACAATATTTTTCGGTCAAAAATATCATCAATAATATAATATTTTGTTTTTGAAAAGCGTTTCGTTCATATACTATGGAAACACACAGATATTATGAAAATATTTACATTAAGTCGGAAAACTAGTGACAAAAATAGAGATTTCAATTACTAGAACCGCCAGATCTAGTAATAGACAATCTGTTAGTCTGTTATGAGCTATAAATATATCATATAATTGTTGGCAAAGTGTTGCACAAACAAAGTTCATATTATATTATACTTTTAAACATAAGAATCCAAAATTCATTTTCATAATGAATTGGGCCTTTTGTTGGGATGCCTGTCCACTAGACGTACTGTATCGTTCAATACCTGTTGGCGATCGTGCAGTAGGAGTAGCTGTAAAGGCTGGGCATAGTTGTTAAATATACATAATTAGTTTTGGTGTCAAACTTGTCATTTGAGCCGCAAGTGGACCCTCTCTTGAGCCAATTACTTGACTTCTTGATGTATTTGGGGTTATACTGACAGTTCTGGTGGTGATGCTTGAGATCTCCATACTTGACACCGGCGTAGCAGCCGTGGCTCCTGTACTCGCATTTGACTCTGAGATTTGAAATCTGTTTTTTGACCACTTTTGGCGCCTGTTTGAGCACATACTTGGATATCCTTCGGCGGTCGTGCGGACACGTGGGCTGTTGGCCGCACTTCTCGATCCACTTGTGTATACAATTGGCACAGAATATGTGTTTGCAGGTCGAGATCTGGATGGGCTGGTCGTACACCTCGAGGCATATGGAGCAGCGCAGGTCATCGCTCACCTCTTCACAGAATAGGTCCAAATCGAGACCCATTTGCTCATCACTTGGTGG